GAAACGCCCCGCGCGCCCCGGGAGGGGGTGGGTGTTGACAGACGTACGGGGAGCGCGTCGCCCGTTCAGCCCCCGCAGCGCACCCCCACCGCTCAGCACTGGCACTGTACAGTGCGGGAAGCGCTCGCCGGCACCAGTGTTCCCTGATTACAGCCCCCCCCTCCAAGTGGATCTTAAACTAGTTTCAGCCATTTTGAAAGCAGTTGATGCTCACTGAACTGTTGCGGTCCATTTTTTAACCGGTTTCCGATCACTTATACCAGTGTACGAGTCTTAGCCTAAGAGGATCCTGAGTGGGTTCAGGCCAGGGGAAGGTGCTCACCTCCCCAAAGCAATCAGGACTGGTGGTAGAGGTGATCTCTTTTATTAGACCAACTAGATTTTTGCAAAAAAAAAAAAAAAATCTTTAATTGCAAGGTTTCGGGGACAAACACCCTTCATGGGGCATCGGAGAAAAGATTGTTCCCCTGGGTAAAAGATAACGCCTCTACCACAAGTCCTGATTGCTTTTTCCTTTAGACCAATACGGCTACAACCTGGATACCTCCCTAACGCACGTCCCTTTAGTCAGCATTTCCTATGGACTAGTTTAGGTAGTGTCCTAGCTGGCCTGTCCTAATCCTATTCTTACATCTCTAACTTGCCCCGTACGATGCTACCTGGGGTGTGTTAGGCACCTGAGATGGGGCTGTGCACTCCACTAGGTCCTGCGACGTGTGAAAATAGCCTTTCATATCTAGCAAGACAGAACACCCTCTTTGTCCCCAAATTACACGTTCATTCAGCTGGTTTCTTTTGCTCGGTCTGGACATTATCACTAGATCCTATAATGATGGGTGCTATACAAAATCCATCCAGTTAGAGCAGTTGCTCAGCCTGTTCAGTTCCTAGATTGAAGTGCACAAAAAGAAAAGCTTTACAAAACCTAAACACCGATAGCTATGACACAAGAGTTTAAAAATATTACATGGAAACAGTTTATTTGGATTCTGATTATTCAAGGCAGGGGTTGTCTCTAATCTGGATTTTTACATGCTTTGCACAGTAGGACTCCAGTCCGCAGAGGAGCTGGTTGATGCTACTCAAGTATGTGTAATATGAAATAATACAGTCATACAGATATCTACCTGCACTGGGTGAAACTCAAACCCTGCAGCTGTGTGCTATGCGTGAAAACCTGGAAGGAAACTGAATAACCAATTAAACTGTGCCTTGTCTTTTACTTGCCCAAGCAAAGCACCAGGTAAGCAAACAGCATGATTTGCAGAGATTCTGAATTTATTTCTATTTTAAGCTAAAGTTTTAGCAGTATGCTTAAACACTTGCATATTTGTAGGATTGGAGTCTAAAACTGAATTCTTAGGATGACTACTCCATTACACGTCTCTCTACACAAGCCAGCAATACACAATCTAAAGTCCATTAAGCGTACGTAGAAACATTAGTATGAGTGATGCAATTTTAAAAAAATGCACCAGCATCCTTTGGAAAGAAGTCAAGCTCTCGTTCTTCTGCTCTCTCCTTATCCTTCCTCCCAGACTAAGACTTCTTAAATAATGTTATTGGAGCCTGTAGAAAAATAAGCCTAACAATGTGTCCTAGTTTTCTTAGGACACAAGCTCCATGCAATTTCTGGTATAAAACAATTCATACCAGAAGGCCAGGGCCCCTTCACTGAGTATGCGCTGGTCACTTTTCTCTCATTTCCGACCTGTCCTACTTTATCCTCAGTGTATTCAGTGAATAGGTTGTTAATGAGGAGTGAAACGAATACCGTTCAGTGTTGGCCAGTCACAGGTTGAGCCTTTGGTGCCTATACATTTTGCTCCTTACATATCATCCTTTATTCTGCATCTCTTTGTACAGAGGATAGTAAAAGGTTGGAAAAGTCAACACCACATCCCCCCTCTGATCACGCTGGTCAGTTAAGGACACACTGATTTCATTAGATAGCTCGGGAAACGACTGAGCCACATATGGGAAGCCCAGTTTGAACTGAATGTACTCGTGGACCAGTTGAGGCTCTGAAGCGAGCTCACAGGAGGACGGGGTTGAAACGCTGTTATATTTCTTCCTACCCTGTCACACTCTATGAAACTTTATCACACTAATAATACGAGGTATAATTTCTGGGCCTCTTTCATGGCAATTTTTCAGACTAAGGGTCCAAGTAAACAATGAGAGAGACTTGTGGCCATCTGGCTCCACAGGCTGGATCTGGCCCATGGGCCGTAGGTTGCTGCCCCCATCCTAGACTGTTATCTTTTGCAGGACATGGTGATAAAAAACATTTCTATGATTTCGGTCTTCTTAAGGGAGTACTGATGCATTTAAAGTACAGTACAAGAGTTCAGTATAGCATACAAGTGTATTCTTTTCCTTCAGAAGAGGAAGAAGCAATGTTTTAGAAGCTCAGTTGGTTTTTAAAGTACAGGGAAGTTTGTGTGTTGATCTCAATGGGAGCAGGACAGAATCCTAAGATGATTTAGAGCCTTATTGCCAACTTCTTTTAAATTGTTCAGCTACCTTGCTATTTGATTTCTGCTTCAAAATTATTGCATAATTGAATATAGTATAGTTTTGGGTGCTTAATTTAACTTGAAGACCAGGAGAATTGGACCCAGGAGAATTTAGGTTTCAACTGACCCAGGCTGGGGTCACCTGATGCCAACACTCTCTTTCCTGTCTAGGCAGGAGGTCAGACTCGATGATCTGTTAAGGTCCTTTCCGATCCTAGCATCTATGAGTCTATGAATTGCCAACAGGACCATTCTCCTACCTCAAAGGGTGCTGAAAACTGGCACCAGCATGGATAGACCAAATTACATAAATGTTAGCAAAATGCATGCTCAATCCTGCCTGATAGCAGATCCATTGCAGGCTCTCCGCAATAGTGCTAAAGACAGAGCACAAAGCTGTGACCCTTGAAATCCCACTTGAAGGCCCCCCCGTCATTTGCTATACATCCAAGAGGCCAGCTGACTAACTCCTTTCTACTCATTTCTTTCAAGTGAGCAGCTCAGATACATGGGGAGGGCTTGATGGGAGGAAGATGAGAATTAAATGTTTGGGGAGGAACCTGGTGTTTACCAAATGTGCTAAGTGTCTTTAACAACAAGCTGTGGAGCCCTCACCAGTAATCACTTTACTGTATCTTGTCTCTCCTGTCTTTTTAGGCTGTGCCCTTTGAAGGATTGGGTCCAACTCTCCTGGACAGGAAGATACACAGGAATCATTAAATGTCTGCATTCACA